GAGGATGTGGTACCCAGGGGTGGCAAAGCCACCCCAGCGCAGCGTGTCCCCAAAGCTGCCAGCAAGAGGAGGGAGGGACGGGAGTGGCAGGGGGGGGGGGGGAAGGGTACGACGGGGGGTGGTGGCACTCACTCCACCGTGGCTGAATCCGGTGAAAATAAAGTCAAAAGACACTAAATAGAGGGAAATACCTCAGCGTGGTACCTGATGGGATGATGGGGAGGCGGGAGGGGCCTGGATCTGCCCACCCCCGAGTCCAGCCTGGACCCTAAATGCACACTCGAGCCCCCTCCTCCAGCCCTAGATGAAACGTCTCTCTGCTGAAAGGGCTGGCAGTGACAGGGTGATCAGTAGGCTTCAGAGTGAACAGAGAGGAACAGAGTAAGGACAAAAACACAATCCTTCCTCAAATCATCCTGCTGCAGTGCCTGGCTGCACCACGGCCCTGCTCATCCCGAAAACAGCACGGGGTCCCCCCTCTGTACCCCAGAAGGGTGGGTTCTCGCAGGGCGGTCGCTGTAAGAGACCCCGGGGAGGAAGACGGCAGCCGCCGCCCTGGCCCCGCCGCCTGCCTTCGCTCAGACCACGCATGTGCCAACGCTGCTCCCCTGGGGCCCCCGAAAACAAGTTCCCTTTCTCCGGGCCGAGCGCAGCACCTGCGTGACTGGAAGGCAAAAAAAAAGAGGCAGCAAGGCTCCCCGGCAGCGCCCGGAGATCGGGAAGGGGCCCATGCCGCTCCCCCCAGGCACGTGGGACAGCCCGGATGGAGGGAGGGAGGGTCAAGCTGGGAGACACCATCAGCGTAGAAAATCCCGACCCCACATCCATCCAGCCTCATCTACCTGAGGCTTGGAGGAGGTTAAAAATCCTCCGGGATGAAGCCCCCGAGCCGAGCCGGGGTTTTCCAGCTTCGGATCACCTCGCAGCCTCTTTGCTAGCTGGAAGGAAAAGGAGAAAAATAAGGAAGGGGGGATAAAACCACCAGGCAGATCTCTCCCAGCCCGGTTTGGGTTCAAAAATATGCATTTATGGCTCCATGGCTGCATTTATCCAGCCCTGGATTAACCCTTCCATAGGCACAGAGCCTTGAGCAGCACTGGGGCGGGAAAGCAGGACCTGGAACTCTGGGAAGATGCTACAGGAGCCCTTTTGGGATCTGCTCCTGGAACGTTAAGCAAAATTTCAGGGCAAATATTCCCTAACTTGGGTAGGAAGAGGAATCCCAGGATTTGGGGTGTGAGAGAACAGATGGTCCAAGAGAGCACCGATTCCGTACTGGCCCGAGCGCCAGGATTTATCACTTCCAGATGTCTCTGCACATGCGGGAGCCATCGACCACGGAGAGGAAAAGGAATAGCTGTGGAGAAAGCACCATCCCTCTCCTCCGTGGAGTGAGGAGAATGGATGGGGGAATATTTCGGATGATGAGAGGCTTCCGTGAGGCACCAGAAAAACCCAAGGCCTGGGGATGTCCCAGGAAAAGCCGGATTGACACCCTTCCTGCGCAGACTGCTCCGGACCTGGAGGGAAAGGTGGAGAAACGGACACGGAGCAAGACACGAACAGGATGAGGCTGACACGGGAGAGAAGCGTGGGCTCCGGGAAACTCACATGCAGAGTTTTTCCTCCTGGGAACAGCAGCCGGTGGTTAGGAGGTCCCCCCGCCAGGCTGGGAAGGGTTGGCGTAACCTGGAAAAGCAGCCAACAGCAAAGCTCGGAGCGAAGACCCATGCGCTATCCCGCAGGTTCGGGATCTTACAGACACAGTGCTGAGGGTGCAGCATTACCGGATGGATCGGGGCAGGGGATAGAGCTGGGGAAGGAGGATTTGGGCAGTTCCAGGCTGTGAGTAGAGTGACAGGCTCCGAGATTGGTGTTACGAGTCACCAGGGCCAAGTTTTCTTGGAAATGGCAACCATGAACTGGTTTTGGGGCCTTACCTGAAGGTCTAGACTGGTTCAGCACCAGTTCAACCCAGTGAATGGCTGATGGCCAGGCACCCCCGAGGACCCAGCGTGGCCAGGGGGGCGAGGGAGGGGATTCTCCCCCTCTGCTCCACTCTGGGGAGACCCCCCTGCAGTTCTGCTCCAGCTCTGGGCCCCCAACAGCAGAAGGACACGGAGCTGTTGGAGCGAGTCCAGAGGAGGCCCCGGAGATGCTCCGAGGGCTGGAGCCCCTCTGCCCTGGGGACAGGCTGGGAGAGTTGGGGGGTTCAGCCTGGAGAAGGGAAGGCTCCGGGGAGACCTCAGAGCCCCTTCCAGTGCCTGGGGGGCTACAAGAAAGCTGGGGGGGACTTTCCCAAGGGCAGGGAGCGACAGGACAAGGGGTAACGGGTTTAACCGGGAAGAGTGAGACGGAGATGAGACATCAGGAAGGAATTCTTCCTGCAGAGGGTGGGGAGGCACTGGGACAGGTTGCCCAGAGAAGCTGTGGATGCCCCATCCCTGGAAGTGTCCAAGGCCAGGCTGGATGAGGCTTGGAGCAACCTGGGCTATGGAAGGTGTCCCTGCCCATGGCAGGGGGTGGGACTGGGGCAGTTCTGAGGTCCCTTCCCACTCAAACCATTCCATGATTCTATGATCCAAGGAGAACCATCCATGCTGAAGTGGAGGAGGTGGAGAACAGCAGCACAGAGCTGTTTGCTCTCCCTGTTCCCATGCCCTCCGGGTGTTCCACGCTCACTGAAGATCCACCCACTGAAGGTGGCAGCGCACTGATAAGTTTTCAGAGCCTTGGGACGGTGTCACCGAAGGAGCAGACAGCAAGCGGCTTTACCCTGCGCTGCAGAGGGAAAGCAAGGAGGTTCACTCCCAAGTGCCCCAGCGTGGTATTTACCGGGCTACTGGTGTTCCCGACAGGATCTGTCACAGCAACAACGCCCCAGAGAGCCCCCTGACTGGGAGCTCAGTGTACAAGTCACTCTGGGCTGTAGCCTAACGCTTCTATTTCCCTCAGAGGGTGTTGCAATAAGCATCGGCTTTGGAATCATCTCCCACCCACTTCACATCTGGACCAGGGCGAACGAAAAATAAGGCTCAAAAGCAAAGCCAAGGCAAAGCAACGCACTTCAGGAACCACTTCAGAGAATCATAGAATCACAGAATGGTTTGGGTTGGAAGGGACCTTAAAGACCATCCAGTTCCAACCCCCTGCCATGGGCAGGGACACCTTCCACTAGACCAGGTTGCTCCAAGCCTCATCCAGCCTGGCCTTGGACACTTCCAGGGATGGGGCATCCACAGCTTCTCTGGAAACCTGTCCCAGTGTCTTCCCACCCTCTGTGGGAAGAATTCCTTCCTGATATCCAATCTAAACCTTCCAGCTTTCAATTTGTACCCATTACCCCTTGTCCTGTCACTACAGGCTCTTGTAAACAGTCCTCTCCCAGTACCCTTGTAGCCCCTTCAGATACTGGAAAGCTGCAATGAGGTCTCCTCGGAGCCTCCTCTTCTCCAGGCTGAACAAGCCCAGTTCTCGCAGCCTTTCGTCATAGGAGAGGTGCTCCAGCCCTCTGATCATCTTCGTGGCCTCCTCTGGACTCGCTCCAAGTGGTCAATATCCTTCTGATGTTGAGGGCTCCACAGCTGGATGCAGCACTTCAGGGGGGGTCTCACCAGAGCGTCTGCATCCGTAGTGACCGATCACCCTGGTCGCTAAACAAACCACCAGCAGGAAGAGCATCCAGACCGGCAGCCGAGCTCTGCGTTCCCAGGATCTGTACTCCGAGCAAAGCTACAGAGTTCCGCAATCCAGGAAACGTCTTTTTCCAACCATCTCAACGCTCCTGGAATCTACAAGTCCCCAGGGGCTTCGTCCAGCACGTATCGTCTGGCAAAACCCGCCCTGGGGCCGATTTGAAAAATTTAAAAAGCCAACCCTGCAGCAAAAACCAGCCACCCCATACACACACACACAGACACACACTGTATCTTCTCCTGCTGGGATTTTCCACTGTGGAAGTTTCCACCGATCCTCAATCCAACGATCGGAACAAAAGCAGGAGAGGTCTGTAATCAGTCAGGAGCGCCAGCGTAAAGCCAGCGTCCTTTTAAGTTCAGATCCCGCTGTTTATCTGCTTTTACAGACAGTGCAACGCTGCCAGAGGTTGGAGGTTCCGGGGGGATTATCGACACATTCCCCTTTATCAGGAGTCAAGGAGAACGTTTCCTTCCCCCCGCAGCTACTTTTACCATGCGCCGTGCAACCCTTCCCCTCGGCCCCATTTGCAGCTCGCTGGAAAGGGAGAGGAAACCCTAATAGGAGCATCAATATTTTTCAGACAAACGTAAAAGCCTGAAAAACGAACGCGGCTCGACGCATCCGAAAGGAATTCCACCCCCCCCGGCGACTGCGGCCAGCCCTACGCGCGTCTCCGGACGGCCGCAAGCCTCGGCACGGCTGTTGAAATATTTATTTTTTTCCACTCACTTCTCGAATGTTTTAACAACAAAATATAATTCCGGGGAGCCCGCAGGATTCGGGAAGAGCCATTTGTTTTCCACCGGTGCTTCTACAGAATGCAAAACGGATTTTCTTTTGCTTCCCACGGAGGCGTCCGGGGTTTTGTTCTTGAACGTCTGGCAAACTGTAAAAGCAAAGGGAGAACGGGAGAGGCGAATGCAGGGAGTTAGCGCAACGCATCGTTCAAAGCCAGACCCTCCGAGTTACCTCAGCACGGAGGAACGCGACGCTCCCGAGGTCATTCATGAAGTAGGACAACAGGCACATGCTTAACTACCCCGCGAAGAGGGACCCCGGACACACACACGCTGCAGTGTTTAATCTCGAACAGTCTGAACACAGGAATCATCCGGAAAGGATCAAGAGTTGTGCCAATCTTCGGGATACAGCCGGGGAAAGTGCTATTTTGCATCTCAACTACTGAAGAGCCACTTAATCCATCAGCAACTAACCCAGGGGTGGATGATACAGCAAGGTCACAGCAAACGAATGCAATGATTAATTAACACGGTGATGTACGGAGCGCCAGGAGTCAGCGATTGCTCTTTTAACCCCTGAGTGCCCATGGCCAAAGCGCCAGGAGAGAGGAGAACTCCCTGGAACGAGGCTTTCTTGTCTCCAATTCAGGCATTTCCCACCCTGACGTGTCGGGGAAGGGACACGGAGCGAGGCCACGATTGCTCACAGGCGAAGCAGAGGAGGTGAGCCGCTCTCCGTCAGGGTAAGCCCTTCACGCTGTCTCCCTTCGCCCCACCTGCACCTCTCCAAGAATTCACGACGGCTCTCGGCACAGGACGTACACACACAGACGCACACCGCAGCTCCCGAATCAAGCCGACGACGGAATTATGCCTCAGCAAAACAGCGTGAAAATACTGCTTTCATCATACAGCATCGAGGGGTTATGGACACAAGGCGGGAAAAAGAAAGGTTTCCGACATCCACCAGCAACATCTTGAGGAAAACTGCTCCACGACGTGTCTGCTCTTACGCTCGAGAGTGATTCGTAGGTGCAAGCAACGGGACAAACTGTGGATCATTTCACCCTGAAGAAAAGCTCTCCGTGTAACTATGGCGCGTACATGGAAATACAGAAGGCAGGCAGCGAAACCATCTAGGAAGTGACAGTGAAAACAAGGTCTTTCCTCCAATACTGGGGGGAGCACCTCTCCATCGACACCAGCAGGACTGACTCCAAGCTCTTCCAGGGTTTTATCTACTCTGATTTTTACATATTTTCACCCCCAAGGCGCCGATCTCTGCTCAGCTGCGTGTAGCAGCTACAAGAAGGGAAGCATAAACGCAAGCCAGGGGCAGAGAATGGCCAAACAGGCAAACGGCCTGCAGACCCAGTTGTTACTGCTGCTCTTGGGTCTTCCTCAGAAACACAGGCCCAGAATTCCCTGCCTGTTACGTGTCTGCAGTAGACGGGGTTATCCAGGCTATTTTTGTCAGTGAGAACTTGAAAGAAGTGTTAAGAAAGCTGCAAGGCCCTGAAACGGAGCTCACGGTCCCCCCTCGCCTTTCTGTTTGACAGTCATGTCCGAACTTTGGACAGGAAAGAAGCATCTGGGCTGTTCCGGCAGCTCAACTCGTAAGGCTGGCATTGGTGAGACGAAACCTGAGCTCCCGATGAAGCCGATTCCTCCTCTGCCTTAGGGGAAAAGAAACCTGTATATAAAAAACAAACCTAAGGGGCACTTCAGAGACAATTAGACGATTCCATGGAGAAATCCTGAAGCCTTTGGCTGTGCTGCAATGCCCTCGGTGGATCTGGACTGCCAACGGCCCCTTTGCCGTTGGGTCCAAGAAAGCCTGAGAATCAATGGGAGAGATCGGTATGATCGACTGCTTGGGATTTCAGGAGGTCTTTCCTTGTGGCAGCAGAGAGGAGCCCGCTTCCAAGGGCCTGAAGAGCTTTTCATGGTCTTCAGTACAAGCTGCTTCCCAGCAAGGAAGTCCCTAAGCACTTACACATTCCGGAGAACTAGTTCTAGGGGATGAATCTCACACCAACTTCTCACTGCTGCTGAACTGGAGAGATGAAAGGATATGGATACATCACAGTGGCCTCTGGTGCAGTTTATTTACAACAGGACTCAGTGCTGGAGAACACCAGGGTATTAACAAGCAGGAAACACACTAGGAGGGAAAAAGGAGAGCGGAAGAAAGGTCACAAGTTAAAAACAAAGTATTTGACTCTCCGATACTCGGAAATCAGCTGATTACCAAAGATCAAACAAGGCCAAAGGAGTCTTATCATGCAGTTTAAAATCAGCATTGATGTATTTGACAACAACTCGTAACCTACACACTAGTGACAAGCACAAAAGCTTAGTATCTTGCTGCCTATGGCTTAAGGACACAATAGGAGCAGCAAGGTGCCTCACTTTCTCCACGTCTCTTGGTTTAAAGTTGCTTTTGCTACAATTGTAATAGCAGCAGCAACAGGCTGGTGCCTTCAGGACTCACAGGTTGCCAAACACCTGGTGGAAATTCAACACTACACTGCAGTACAGTCCTTTGGTCTGCTCCCTCTCTCACCATTTACACAGGATCACAGACTGGTTCAGGTGGGAAGGGACCTTAAAGCCCACCCAGCCCCACCCACTGCCATGGGCAGGGAACACCTTCCATAGCCCAGGTTGCTCCAAGCCTCATCCAGCCTGGCCTTGGACACTCCCAGGGATGGGGCATCCACAGCTTCTCTGGGCAACCT